ATAAGATGAAAAATTAATGGATTAGGTAACAAAATTGGGATCTAAAAAGTCTCTGGGTGTGACTTCTTAACAATGCAAATTCTCAGGACCCAGCGCAGATATGATGAATTGGAGTCTGGTGATGGCGGTGGGATTACTCAGATATCCAAAGGGTACCAAAGGGGGAAAAAAAAGTAAAGGAAAAATTCAATGCATTGAATATTAAGTCCTACTTTTAGGTAAAAATAAAAAGTTTGTAAGAGAGATTTGAATCAGCCTGTGTGAAAAAGCCCTGGTTTTAATTAGTTAATTATAGGCTCCCTTTGCACCAAAGATATCACTTGATTGTAATGCAATCACAGAACAAATAGATGTTATGAACAAATAATGATAATAACCACCATTTACTGAAAGCAAAATATGTCATATACATTTCCTTAATAACTGTCGGTATTCACAGTCAGGTGTTATTATGCCATCGTGCAGATTAAGATACAGGTTCAGAGGAGTTAAGTGACTTGGTCAAAGGAAGGTCATAGCTAGTTACTGCAAAATTAATATTAAAAACTTTTTATTCTACTGTGCTCTTTTTCTTATAATATGGAAAAGAACTTCCTGTCCTATTAAGCTTTGACATATTAGCCCAGCACATAGTAGGTTCTCAAGAATAGTACATTAATAAATAAAGGATTTAAATCTCGGCTGTAACTACAATAGAGGGAATTAAGGTCCATGTAGATACCACATTACAGGGTGATGCTGACAATTTAAAGTACATATTGAGAAAGTGGGCAGGGTAGTAGATCTGATAGCAGGTGTGAAAGTAGCTAAAGAATCTAGAGATACTTATTTTGAAAAGGACAGAGCAAAGTGGGGAGATGACTGTGATGGCACATATGTAAAATACCTTCTCAGAGTAAAAATAATTTAGTTTATTTTGTATTCATTCATAAACCTGGTACCTTGGAATTTCCTCTCTTTTCCAGGAAGTGTTCAAATAGAGGCTGGTTGTAACTCGATTATGTATTCTTTCAAAGTAGAGTCCTTATACCCCACCCCCAACTCCATGCTCTGCTAGTGCCAGCTACTCAGTACATGTTTATTAAATTGTCATTTGTCACATGTCCAGGGGAAGTAACTGCTTATCTATATTCAGCATAGAGTATAGATAAGCAGTTCAGTTCTACAATTTTTTTTCTGAAATTACGATGCTGATTTTTATATGCTTCACAGTGAATAATTCTGTACCATCTTCTTTTAACCTTGTAGTTTAGCTTGTCTATTGGGTTCCATCACTAGTTTTAAAAGTTTGGTCCCCAAACCAGCAATGTCAATATCAGCACCACTGTGACCCTGCTGAAAATGCAAATTATCAAGTCCCATTCTAGGCAGAAGTGGGTGGTGGTGGTGAGGGGGTTAGCCAGATACCTAGCATCTATACTATAATAAGTCCACCAGACGATTTGGAAGTCCTCCAAATTTAGAATCACTGGGTTAGAAGTTTCTGACTCTTTTTTAGAACATGTACATTGAAGCTCAAGGGGAATGTGTTTCTTGAGGACAAAGCCTGCCTGTTGATCCACGGTGGCTACCATATTGCCTGGCATACAGTGAAAGTCCAGTAAGCAAGTGTTGAACCAGACTTGAATTTGTAAAAATGACAAGGAACACAGTATTTGATGGAACAGACATCAAGGACTGAGGTTTTTTTTCAGTCAAAAGTCAGAAAGCCACCAGGAAAAAAAGCCTGTTATAATGTTAATTAATAGGTTGAAAATTTGGTTATTTTAACCTAATTGCATCCTCCAAACACATGATTGGATCAAAAAGATGTGGTATACATGCATAATGGAATATAACTCAGCCATCAAAAAGATAAATTAATGCCATATGCAGCAATGTGAATGGAGCTGGAAGGGATTGTGCTAAGTGAAATAAGTCAGAAGGAAAAAGGTAAAATATTGGGTGGTTTCCCTTGAAAATGCAGAATCTAAAGAATCCCAACCATGGTTAGGATGGAAGACAAAACTTGCATGTTGATCATTCATCTGAGCAAGGGGAAAGGGAGAGGGGTCAAATGGGAGAGAAGAGCACAGGGACTACATTGATGGATCACAGATGGTATGGTGGTGGGAGAACCATGTGAACAACATCTGGGGGGAGGGCAGGGAATCAAAGACTGTCTACAAATGAACACAAGTGTACAAAAATGAATTCTTTCAAATTTGGTTACTTTCATATGATTAGCTAGATTTTGATGCAAATGGTACTCAATTAACCCGTATATTCTGACATTTTTTTGCTTAAATGTATAAGGATCATTGCTGTGTAAACATTGCTACAGAAAAAAAGACAAGGTCTTTTCAGAATTGAGTTCCTCTAAGGTACTATTGATTCCCTGAATGTTTTATTGAACTCTTTACATACTATTTGGGTGCAAAAATATGATTTAATAATGATCCATTTAAGTTTATAATTATGGAAGTATCTTTGTATTTATAAAAAGATTCATGCAAACTCAGCTTGTCTACATAAATTGTGTTTTAAAGTCAGTGGCACAGGAAGGAACATGGGCCTCATTATGTAGAGAATATCTTTCCCCAAGTCTTATAGTAGAGCAAAGAGCGAGTTTTTATTTTCTCTGCATTGGGGGTATCTAACATGAGGAGTGGGTTCTCTAATATTCTATATAGAATATGCACAGTTACTTTATGTAAATTCAACACATGTGCTTAGCCAAGTCTGTGTATATTCTGTATATTCTGTGTGTGAGAGTGTGTTTCCTTATCAAACCTGTGTGGAGAGTCTGTCTTCTGTCTCCTATCTGGCTGCCTATCTAACATTGAATGACATAAGGCACATGCTCTCACCTGCCAATTAATGTAAAAAAAAAACAAACAACATTTACTAGAATGTGTGGGATGGCTACTGTGGATCCATTCTTGGTTGCTTCATCTGTTTTCCACCTGAACTGCATGATGTTTCCGTTGTGTGAGTAAATCTAGTATTTAAAGATAATTCTGTTTTGATACATCTACAAATACAAACCAAACCAAAACCATCACTACCAGCCATGAAACACAGAGAGAAGTGCAAGGGATAAAATGAAGGACAGAATGAGTCCAGGCTCACTTCTCTGGCACTGGTGTTAGGTTATGACACTGTCCCACTCCAGGCCCCTGTTAATTCAGATAATGCCTGGCCACACTCCTCCTGGACTTCTGGGAACTGTTCACTAGAGAAAGACTCTTTCAGGCTCTGTCACCACCCAGAGAAGACCAGGGCCTTGGGGAAAGGGCAGGATTGAAACATTTGCAGATGTGATGTGAGAGGTTCAGGAGGTGTCATAGTTCCTTTCTGTTACCGTGGGAAAGGAGTCTACTGCCATACCACCCCTGAACGCGCCTGATCATATCTGATCTTGGAAGCTAAGCAGGGTCGGGCCTGGTTAGTCCTTAGATGGGAGACCATTGGCAGGGTATTTGTGACATGGTTATGACATGTTATGTGTGCTGGTGTGTGTATCTCTCATTGTAGGTATCCAGAGAAGCAAGAGCTTCCTTGAATCTTGGAGTTCCTGCCAGCTACCATTCTTTCCTCCCAGGTTTGTGGCCTTCTGAATTCCTAAAGCATCCCAAAGATTCCTAGATATATCCTCTGGAATATAACTGAGCTATGGGCATTGTGTCCACATAGCACAATTTTCTAAGAGCCAGATGCACATTAATAAATAGCTTTTGCAAGTCCTCAAATGAGAGAGATCTTAGATTTGTTGTTCCTGCCTAGGTTTGCCAGAAAGTTGCTTCACAGCATGTCATCATAAAATGCTCTATTTTACAATGACAGATGTGTATTACATGCCTTTATGGCTTTAAACTTTATTAATATTGGCTAGGTACCTCTTAAGTACAATCACTCAGTGGTATATGTGTATACATCTAGTTATCAAGACTGCGTTCTTTAAAGATATAAAGGGCCAGGGACAGAAAAAAGTCATTTGCGCAATTTCTATAGAACCACTAGTAAATGTATGAATTGATTAAGTAGATAAAATGTCATTTCATGAAATTTGACATCATGAAAACTAGACCAAATCTTAGAAGTCTGAATTATATTGACTAAAGTCTACAATATATTCTACCTTTCTCTCTATTTATAATTTGCTTCTGACACCTTTATATCACAAATACTTAAAAGTTAAAGTTATAACAAAACTTTGTAGGACTCTGGCACTCTTTAGAACAATAGGTCCCAAATGCTGGTATTTAATGGGCTAGACTGGAATGAAGCTTTTTATTAGTTTAAAGCAAGACGAGAAAATAGAAAATGTAAGTATACTTGCATAAGGCTAGATTTATTGAATTTAAAGGACTCTCTTGTCTTTAATTTGAAATTTTGCTTATAACTTTACTAGTGCACGAAATTATTTGGTCAGAGATCTAAAGTATATAACTTCTGGGTTGAAAAATCTGCTTTTATCACTTTGCTTTTATCTTGCTCTATAAGAAGAAACATAAAAATAATTAAAATAAATCAAAACCTAACTATCATATGAATTCACAAGGCTCTCACTGTTGTGTATTCATAAGGTATTAAGCATCTATCTAAGCCGAGTCCTAGGACACCCCACTCCCTGGAGAAGAGGCTCAGGGTCTATTGAGGACACAGACCTGCTGGGGGGCCTTGAACTGGGCTGGTTAACTCTTGGCTTGTGTCTGTCTGTGTCAGAAGTTTCCCCTTTATGGTCTGAGCCAAAGGCTCTGTCCATGTCCTGGACTCAGCAAGCCCTAGTGTCCAGGAAGATGTCAGTTACTATTTGCTGGGGAAATATAGGATCTGTAAATCTATGATTTTGACTAGTAGACACTTTAGCCAATGTATGATTCTCTCATAAATGCCATGATTTCTTGGACAATAAAAATAAACACAGAGGAAAGGGAGGTCACTTCAGGTTTTTAGTCAAAACCAAATCAATTGCTAATACACTGATGTAAAATTTCCCTCCCCTCCTTGAGACACACCTTTCTGAAGTCACTCGTATCCTCTCATCATTGGAAGAGTTGAAGCGATCATCTTTTTCTCTGAAATATTCTTCTATGCATTGCTCTTCAAAATCATGTACTTTCTTGAGCTCATCATCAGTTATAAAAAGTTCTGTGGGAAAAAGATGAGAGGTGTGAGGTACAGAAATGAGAACAATGGCCTGTGTTTCTTGGGATTAATGGCATTCCTAATCTAAATTGAGGTGAAGAAAAGGAGCCCACCGCTCTCCTATTTTAACACCCAGAAAGAAGTCAGGAATTGCTGTGTTAGAGAAGTTGTTAAATGCTTCCAACTTAGAAAAACAGTTCGCTAAATGACTTCAGTTTCACACTTTAGATACAGTAGTTATTACCCCAAGGTAATTGCCAGGCCTCACTCCTGCTGCCTCCTGTTCAGTAGACTTAGTGTAGGTGGCCTGCTTGGTACACTTTGACAAACCATAGTAGCCTGCTTGTATGGGGCTGGGCTCCCTGTGGCTCCTCACTGTGGGTGGTATCCAAGAAACATTTAGGAATCTGCAGTAGTACTGGTGTTCAATGTGAGGAGGCTGGGTGTACTAAATCTCCTGCAATGTGTGGGGCAAGCCTACACAAAGAGGAATTGTTCCACTCCAGTGCCAACCATATTTCCTCCAAGAAACATTGGACTACCAGATGCATGGTGGAGTGTCTTCTGTTTTGTCCTCTGAAAATGGAAAGCAAGGCAGTTTTCCTTATGAAGTCATATAGAAACAACCCTAAGGCTTGAAAGTGTTTAAGATCTTTTAAAAAACAATTGATCTGGAAATGACAATGGAAAATCAAACATAAAAATCAATTCAACTACAACTCAACATATGTAACAACGCCTAAATTAAATACAGTATGCCATTGGAAGCATATTAATTTGTTGGATATATATTGTGATGGGACCTCTGGAAAGTAAGAAACTTAGGAGTTATGAAGGTGTTCCAGCAACCCTGCTGGAAACTGACTCTATCTCACTAAGAAAGATGTGAGGCTAAGAATGTTTGATTTTAGCCTCTACTTCTTTCTAGAGCTGTTTCTCGTGCAAGCCTCCCCTCCCACAGCCTCCCAAGTTTTCACCGCTGCAGACAATCTGCAGGAAGCAGGATGAACCTAATGGCTTGCATGGCTGCCTATGGGAATGGAAGCGGTAGGAATTTCTTTGTGGTTGTGGGGAATGGTCACTTGAAACTTACTCAGACCATAGTCCCTCTCATCTGGGTCGCTCTCATGTTTCCTCCATCGGCAGCACAGGTGCTGGAATATCATGGTCATGTGGCTGAAGATGATCAGAGGTGGGGGCAGAACTGGTCGCTCATGGAAAGTCATGATGAGCTGATACCTCTGGAACTTCCACACTTGGTTGGATATTGATTTTACCTCGAAAAAGGTATTGCTGAAATAGAGGGCAGAGAGAATGAAGTGAAAGTTCCACTGCTCTCTGAAGCATCAGCTCCTCTATGGGTGTCTAACGCCCCATTCCCCTGGGGCTCTGAAGAAAGACCCACTTACTTAAAGACAGCGATGAGGAGGTTGACCAGTAGGATGTTGGCCACTAAAAGGTAGCAGGCCATGATGGCTGGCACGATCCAGGCTCCTGTCTTGCAGGGAGGCAGCTGGATTATTTTACCATCCTCTCGAGTCTCATTCTGTCCACAGGGAGCTGGAGGAAGCAACACGTCAGAAATGAGAAACTGGCTACGTGGTTAAAAAAAAGAAAAGACCGATTTGAATGAGAAGGATTTTTTTGGGGTGGAGGAAAAATACAGCCATCTCAAAACAAACAGAACAGAAAAGAATTCCAAAAAAGCCAGAATAGAAAAATGAAGCTTCGTGAATATCCCAAGAGGCTGGTCCTCCAGAGGGGTATTGATTCCGCCAGTCTCCCTAGTTGTTAGATGACTTGAGGGAGGGAGGTGAAACACTTTGCTTGCTCACGAAGTCCCTTGGACCCTCACACTGTATTTGGCGGGTGGCCGGGGCGGGGGCATTTGGTGTCCTTTGGGAGCCTGGTGAGGGCTTTGTTGGGGAGCAGAGTCTCACTGCTCCATCAAGTTACTTTCAAAATGTGCTGTGGAGGCCAGAAGCCGACAGCTGTAAGAGCAGCAGCGCTGGGGTCTATTGATCGGGAATTAACACCAGGGCAGCTGTTAATTGCCAACAGAAACAACCCAGGGGCTCTGAGCTAACGATTTGCTGTCTCAGTGCAGAGGAAACAAAACAGGGTAGTGCCTTGGGAAGTATTTAGAGGGCTTGTCACTCCCTGCTCCTGATAGATGGGATTTCACCAGGATGATGATGATGGGTGGTGGACCAGGGCTTCAAAGCCCACAACCACCTCTCTCTCCTATCAGCATTTTTTTCTATTCCAAAAATGTGCTTTTCGGCACCCAGGGAACAAAACCCGCCTGCACTGAATAAATGGGCAAATGAAAAAAAATGATCTAGAGGTGGGGGTGTGGAGGAAGGTGATATGTGGGACTGGTGAGCGTGAGTAAAGTGTTAATGAATCTGCCAGAAGTTTCCGGGTGAGTTCAGGGGAGAAAGAAGTGCTGCTTATTGCTGCTCAGACAACCTGGTTTGGGAATGAGATGATGCCCTTAGGGCCCGGGGACAGGTGTGTCACTCTCTCTAGCTGTCTTACTTGGCTTCTGAACAAGGCCCTTTGGCATCTGTCTATAAAAAGGGGCTGGGGCACTGAGTGGTCTCAGCAGTTGCCATGGGCAGCTTTTGAAGACCTGCCAGGTTGGTTTGTAAAGTTGACCCGGAGTCTTTTAATTGGATTATCTGGCAAGGGAAGCCCATTCCCACCTCAAGACTTCTTGTTACTGGGCTGCGCACTCTGCAATGGATCTCAGCCTCAGCTGTGCTGGGGACCCCCGGGCTAATTCTACAAAATACAATGTCCAGCTCCACTGAAGACAATCAAATCAGACTGTGAGCTTGACTGAGGCATGGCTAGTTCCTTTAATCTTCAGATGCCACTAAGGTGAGGCCATTGAACTGAAATTAGGCTGGAAAAGTTACATGACTTTTTACATATTGTCAGGTCCAAAAGGCAAGTTCTGGAGCTCTGAGAGTTTAGTAGTAGCAGGACACCAGGATCCTGCTTGGAGAGTCAGAGAAAGAGGGCAAAGTGCTTCCCTTGGTTCTGATTGCAAGATGACTGGGGTTTGGTACCAGGTGCTTTCAAAGAGCTGGTATCTTTTTTCTTATTGGCAGTCAAGGTGCTAACTACCCAGGACAGTCCTGTAAGGACTGCTCATCATCTCTTCCCTTGAATGGAAGACCCCCCAGTGGCTTCAGGATGCAGTCCATGCTGTGATTGTAACTTCCCACTACTACCTCTGAGCACAAACTAGACTGAGTTTCTAGCAGTTACAACAAATGTCATTTTCTCTCTTGATTTTGCTTCATGCTTCTTTTGCCTCCAAAAGGCCCCATTGATGCTTTGTTCTTCCTCCCAGGCTTCACTTTGGTGAGTCCTATTCAACTCACTTATCCTTCTGAAGCCCAGCCCAGCTCACTTTCTGCCCCCTTCCAGTGATGACTCGGATAAGTAGGATAAGTATTGATCAGGAGTCTGTTTGGCCAAAAGCCATTTAGGCTTTTCTGACTTCTTTTTCAACTAGGCCTTGGCTTTTAATATGCACCATTCTCACCAGTGTGAGATGGTGTCTCATTGATGGTTTAACTTGCATTTCTCTGATCATAAATGATGCTGAGCAGTTTTTCATATGCCTGTTACCATTTCCTCTTTGGAGAAGTGTCTCTTAGCTCTCTCTATGAATTACACAATTTTAGAATTCTGCTTAGTCAGTTTATCCAGATCAATATCTGATTATCACTGCTGTCTGATCAGGTTCCTCATCCCTCTCCACTGCCCAGGTAGTATTTGGTAACCCTGACCTGCCCTCAGCAAAAATCCTATTTGGCCATGTTAGCCAGAAACCTCCTGTATTCATTTATGTTTCCTCCTAGTGATTTTCCATCCGTTTACCCACGGCCTGCAACTTGGCCATAGATTCACACTTTTCCTTATTATATTCAGAGTTGAGCCTAGTCTTTCTCCCCTACTACAAACCCCTGTCATAGCAGACCCTACCATCATTTACATGTCATGAATTATTTTCCTTTAATAATTTGTCTTTAAACTATTTGCATTCCATACATCTAATAAGGGGCTGATATGAAAGATCTACAAAGGGCTTACACAACTCAACAAAAACAAAGTAAAGAACTCAGTCAAAAAAATGGGCAGGAGAGCTAAAAAGACAGTTCTCCAAAGAGGAACTGGCCAACAGGCATATGAAAAAAATGCTTAGCATCACTTACAATCAGGAAAATGCAAATCAAAACATCACTGAGAAACCAACTCACAGTGGTGAGAATGACACATATTAAAAAAACTGGCAACAACAAATGCTGGCAAGGATGTGGGGAAAAAAGAACCATTCCCATTTTTGGTGGGAATGCAAACTTATCCAATGGCTATGGAAATATCAAACTACTACACTACTAAAATTACTAAAGATGGGCCCTCCCTGGTGGCGCAGCGGGTTAAAGCACAGCACTGAGAAGCTAAAGCCACTTCCGCATGAGTTCGATTCCCGCCTGCCCTGGAGGTGACCACATGGTGTGGCAGACCTCTCCTGACCCGCCCGCTGCTCCCCTCAGCAGTGTACTTCGTCGATCTGCCTGTTCTGTTCCCCACTCTGTCTCTGAAGCCTCTCGCCGCCCCTGAGCCTCTGGCCTGTACCCCAGTTCTGTATGTACAAATAAAATAAAATCTTTTAGGGCCCTCCCTGGTGGTGCAGCGGGTAAAAGCACTGCACTGAGAATCTAAAGCCGCTTCCGCATGAGTTCAATTCCCGCCTGCCCTGGAGGTGACCACATGGTGTGGCAGACCCCTCCTGACCCGCCCACTGCTCCCCTCAGCAGTGTACTTCGTCGATCTGCCTGTTCTGTTCCCCACTCTGTCTCTGGTGAAGGCTCTCACCGCCCCTGAGCCTCTGGCCTGTGTACCCCACTTCTGTATGTACAAATAAATAAATTTAAAAAAAAAAAATCTTTAAAAAAAAAAAATTACTAAAGATGGGTCTACCATATATCCCAGCAATTCCACTCTTAGGAATCTACCCAAAGGGCACAAAAACATTTTTTTCAAAAGGAAACCTGTATCTCTGTGTTTATAGCAGCAAAATTTACAATACTAAGACATGGAAACAACCAAATGTCCCAAAACAGATGACTGGATCAAGAAGATATGCTACATATACACAATGGAATATTACTCAGCAGTCAGAAAAGATAATGGCAATCGTGCCCTTCACAGCAACATGGATGAAGCTGGAAGGGATAATGCTCTGTGATATAAGTTAGAGGAAAAAAGAAAAAATACTGGGTGGGATCACTTATAGGCAGACTATAGGGAAACTGAACTGTGTCCAGTTCAGTTTGTATCTCTCTCTCTCTCTCTCTCTCTCTCTCTCTATATATATATATATATACATACATACACACACACACACACAAAACTTGCAGGAACTATAAACTTGAGGCATACCATAGAAGAGGGGGAGAAAGGTGAGGCCAAGTAGGGGAGGGAAGACCACGGACCACAGATGATGTAGTAGTGGAAGATTTATGAGGACTACACCTTAACAGAGACATCAGATATGGTACAAAATTGAACAACGTTGTAAGAAAAAAGCTTAAAAAAATGCCTTTCCAAATTTCAACTTATGGTTCCAGAGCACCCCTATGTGCTCCTTTCTGGGGGTTCTTACATTGTATCATCAGTTTGCTGGACTGTGTCCCACTCAAGATTTCCAATGGGAGAATTGCTCTCATGGTTTCCCTTTACCTGGTTCAGTCCATACCCAATATATCATATATGACCACTGTTTGCCGAATGGCTAAAAACGGTCATGTTGACACAGTTTGGTTATTGAGCACTAATAGATATTTCCTGTAGCTCTGTGGGCCTAACTTCTTTTACAGTTCCTCTCCAGAGATGGCATCTTCAGTTTGGCAAGGCTTCTCCTGCTCAACCAGACCACAAAGTCTTTGTTACCGACTTGTTGCGGGCCTCGTGGAAGTACTTGCTTCACTTTTCATTTCATTTGTCACTCTTAAGTTGCTCATGAAACTTTCCCCACCTACTCTTCCCTCTTCCTCTTGGCCTGAGAGTCCTGAGAAGCCATCCCTCCTATTGTGTCTTTTCCTCTGCCTCTTGCTGAGATTCATATGGGCAAACATACAACAGGAAGTCGAAAGAACCGCTTGGCTAAGTAACCAAGCATGTGCAATGTTGACAGAGGTCGTGGTGACATTCAGGTTCTCTTTGCATTCTGGGAGAATGTGAGATAAATTTGGGAGGGGTGGAGCACATCCATCTTGCCCCTTTGACCCCACATTTAGTGACATCTGCAGATACTTCCTTTTCTCTAGCTTTTTTTTTTCATCCCTGAAAGAACATCAGAGAAAACAGTGGTGCTTGTTGGTTTACTAGCAACCCTGTCATTTCCCTGGGCCTTCAGATAGCGTCAGCGAGATTTTAGATCTCTGCTTCCTGCCTCAGAGGCTCCTACTAATTAAAAAATTGGACCAGCTTAATATCTTCATACATATTGACTTGCTGTCTCAGGGATTTATTTATTT